CCTTGGGCGCTATGAGCAGCTTCAACCAGGAATGCAACAGCCAGCAAACCAACCATCCAGCACCAGTTCTGATGTTCAACTTCCCAATGCGTCACAAGGATTCCTTGTGCAAGAATGTATGGGGGTTCCGCAAGCAAACCGCACTCTGGTCTGTCCCACAAAGCAACAAATTGATCTGGACTGAACACAGTGCAATGGGAAACCCTGACAAAAAAGCTTGTATTCCCCCGAGAGCGAGAAGATGGAGGATCCCAGCCTTCTCATCTACAAGGACTTGCTCCGGCTTCTCTCCACACCTGTGACATGTCCGATAAGGGCGCATGCAAAAAACACAGTGGACCTACTTGGTGCAGCGTAGTCTGGGGGCCTGACCGTGAAAATGAGACCTTCAACGACAAGCATGGCATCATTTGCCATGAGTTGGAATAGTGCGAGTCTTTCTTATTTTTGGGTTGCTGTTGAAGGGAACCAAAAGGGTAGAACCACCATTTGTGGGATTTTTTAGGGGTCCCTTCTATGCCACTTGGTGTGTCCACGACAGTGAAGGGATGAGTAGGGAAAGAAAAACCTGCACGTTCGACAATTGTAAGCTCCAAAACACTCTTGGATAGGAAAGAAGGCTCGCTGATAGCAACAATATTTCATATCCACAAATCAGCTGCAGGTTGACTCTTGTCCGAAACTAGAATCATAGAGGTATTAATTCTGAACATGCAAAACCTTTCAACAGCAACAAGCACAGGTTCAGCTACTGTGCTTGACCTGAGATGGGCTGCTCTTCAGTGCCATCTTCCACCAATTCCGTGATGGAAACTCTAAACGAGGGTTGGCCAAACAATTGATTTCCTGCTGGATCCTGATGTCAATTGTTGGAGGAGGTCCGCCCAAAACAAAATGACAGGCGATCAAGCCCTCATTGTGGAAACATTGAACAGCAAAGCCGACCTGGGGCACTTGAACACAATGAATATGTATGCAATGTACGTCCAAAAATGGGCGGCTGGGACTTCGCTGCAACACAGTCCAAAGAGGATATCCACAAAGAGTTTTGAGACATCCCCAAACAAAAGAGAAATTGCCTTCAATCACGCAAGCTCGGGGCCCCGTCATGGCAGTGGCCAGCTCGTTGATGCTCTCCTCAACGTTCAAGGTCGTTTGTCGTGCCAAAAGCTGCAAATGAGTAGAGTCTTTTTTCGGTGTATCGGCCACATACCTTGGAAGCCAGGGCAATCCTTAGAACCACCAAGTGTCTGCACCATACCAAGATGAATTGCATGAGTCCCGTGACCAATGGCGTTGATGACGGCATCCCTTTCGGCAAAGGTCAGCCTTTTGCGGCGTAGATACTTCCGAGTATGAGGACAAAGCACCTTTCTAAACTTGATGCTATATAATTATTACTTTCAACAGGAATTCTCCACAATGATGGCTTACCAACGAATTATTATGCAGCCGATGCAGTTCAAAACAAGCTGCACTTGTGCATATTAGCATGCGCATGAACAGTTGGGGACCCTCCGTCCAAAAGCATCTTGGGCTGACAGTGTCGCTTCAAGGACCGATCCTCGTCTTGGCCGTTTGGCACAAAGATGCCAACCTTGGTTGGAATGTGCGCACGGGACGTTGTCACGTTCCAAGCTCACCACAACTCCAGCCCCCTCCAAGCTAATTTCAAACAAACTCGAGCACTGCGACACTGTTCAAGTGTTGCGTGCTTGATTCCACTAGGGGCCACGAGGACTCAAGTACGGGTGAGCTTCAAATGCGATCGCAGCTCGCCATCCAGTCTCAATTCAACATGGGAACTGCCGATGAACAGGAGTCAAATATCGAAATTCGTGTGTAAGCATCAAGTGGCGAGCAAAAATAGAAAGGTGCACAGCTGTATGGAACACTGTGTAGGTGTGATCCAGGTGCGCAACAAGGTGATCTGTATGCATTTAAAGGAGCAACAAGTCAACCAACCAGTGGTCATCCCTCCGCTACCGGATAGAATGACGGCAAAACATGCACCTAGTGGCAGAAGTCATTATAATCATTATATAGTCATTTTACGGATATCTCTTCAATGACTAGGGCCGGCATTTCAATTCCGTCAACCCTCAAAAACACAAGCCACTTAATTGTGTACACTGCTAATATGAAACCGCATTGAATGCGTGCCAACACTTGCCTCAACTGGAGCCGGGAGGAGGCGTTTTGATCTACCGGGCTTAAAGTCGACTCAAGCTCAGTTTGCAAAGGAAACCTGAAACTTGAGTCAACTGCAGAAGCCATGCAAAGGAAGAGACGAGGCAGGCTCACACCTTGTCGGATCTTTGAGCTCATCAGCCAAACGCGCTTCCAGGGCACCCTGCGGTGTTGTGAGGATCCAGCTGGTGCTTGTACATAAGCTCCAACAACTGGCGCACAGGTCATAATTCCTCTAGTGGCCATGGGAGCCCCAGATTGATAAACTCATCCTATTTATAAGGGGGGGTGTAAGGATCTCCATTAAACATGGACATCCCCAATCCGAGGTTCCCATTAGTGGGCATGGCTTTCACAACTTACCATCATGTATGAGTTGCGACTTGGGCCACAAGATTAGGGACGATTTAGCAAGCCCAAGTTTACTGGACTACATGCTTACTCTTCTGATTCACCTCATCCTTGTGTCTCACGATACGTGGACTCAGTGGCTTGTGATCTCTTTTTGGAATCTGCAAGTGGGCCCCCAGAGTTCAATCATCAGGCGTTCGTGGAGGGTTCGAACCAGTTTCGAGTGTCGGGCAACAAAGGACTACGTTTTGTCACGCAGCGCAACACAGCTCGGTCGAGCGTTGTGCCGCAGGTTTGGGGCAGCTGGCCCCCCAAAAGCTTCTAAATCGCACACTTCTACACATAGCTAATGTTGGACCTCCTTTATTATTGGTACTCGGTACTGTAGAATTTTTTTTCCTAATTCAGAATCCTGTGACTGTTTTAACGGTTCGCTATTGTGGCAAGTGTTTTTGCCCCCCCCCCAGAAAAATCTAAAAAAACGCATAGCTTTTTTCTTCGCTTTCTGGATTTGCTCGGGCTCAGGCTAAACTTGCTAAGCCTTGGTAGCTCCTGTTCAGCTGGAGGCGGGTTCTGAGCTAGCTAGAATTGGGAATTTGTTTTCTTGAAGTGGTCCCCAAACCATCAAATTTAAGATAACTTCTTTACAAAAAAGTGCGGGCAAACAGTCACACAAAGGGGGGTGCCCACAAGAGGCCCAGATCCTCTTCAATGCGATTGTTTTGGGGTCCTCTTTAGTGTCCAGTGCTTTCGGGGTTGCTGAAAACTGAAAACCAAAGCCTCAGCCTTTTACTTTTAAAGAAGGGGACTCATCCTAAGCTCTCCCCAGCTCAAAGGTTAAAGGCCTGAGATCTAGGAAATCGATTTTGCAAGTTGTTCCCAAACCATCAAATTTAAGATAACTTCTTTACACAAAAGTGCGGGCAAACAGTCACACAAAGGGGGGTGCCCACAAGAGGCCCAGATCCTCTTTAATGCGACTGTTTTGGGGTCCTCTTTAGTGTCCAACTGGTTTCGGGGGTTGCTGAAAAAACGACCCTTGGCAATACTAAAGTAGAATTGGCAATACTTAAGTAAGTACTGGGGATCTGAGAGTCAGCCTTGGCAATACTAAAGTAGAATTGGCAATACTAAAGTAAGTACTGGGGATCTGAGAGTCAGCCTTGGCAATACTAAAGTAGAATTGGCAATACTAAAGTAAGTACCGGGGATCTGAGAGTCAGCCTTGGCAATACTAAAGTAGAATTGGCAATACTAAAGTAAGTACTGTCCCTCCCAGATCCCCCAGGATCTCCCTAAAGAGAGTCCAGCCGACTGGTTCCACTGTTCCAGGGGGGGGGGGGTCACACTAAACAGAGTCCAACATTAGAGAGTAGTTGATAGCTTCCACACAGACTACAGACATAATGAACAGTGAAACTGCTCTGGTTGTTGTTTTGTGTAATGGTCCGACATAACCCCCCTGGCATGTGCCTTCGGATTCTGCTTGCACCGTTTATGCTTGCACCGTTTATGCATGAGAAGTTACCGCCAGCTCCCTCAGTTCGTCCAGTCAGCTTAGTACAGAGCTTGGAAGAAAATGAGCCTGGCCAATCCTTGGACTTGAACGCAATTTGATTGGCTCACCGGCAGCACAGCGAATCCGTAGAATGCTGGAAAGGCTTTTTAAAGAGTTGGAGCCTTGAACATTGGTTTCCCTTTAAACACCATAAAGTTGGATATGTTGGCCCGCATCTTAAGACACCAGTTCTCTCTTGGCTTTCTGCAGGCAAGGCATCCTTTTCTACGACATGGCCTTGCACGTCTCATGCACCAGGCCAGCCCCAACTTGGGCTGTGCATGTTGACCTCGGCAGGTCTCGTTTGCCCACACACACAGCCCAGGTTGGGCAAACGTGGCGGCTTGCGATTTCGGCACCTCAGCCCATGATTCGGTCAGGGCAATGCAATGCAGCGCTCTGCCATGCAAGCAGTGGCTAGAAACAGACTCCCAGTGCTCCAACTGCAAAACCAGTCCCACAGGGCAAGGCGTCATTCCACCATCCATTCAAGGGGAATGGCCACAGAATAGCCTGAAGCAAGTAAGACATTACACTGGTGCTTCACAGTGCTTCCTGAAAAAGAAATACAAGCCTTGCTTCTGAACACATAATGACTTGGTGTGTGTATAAGGCACCAATACGCTTTCACAGGTCGGCAAGCTAAATATGGTGCAGACTGATGATACGTAGTACAGTCATGACTCCACAAATAGGAATAGTTCTGTCATGGTTTGTCAAGTGCTAACTCATCCCGTGGCAGCTGATTGATGACCACCCCTAGCAGTTTCAGCATTTAGACTGCCCCCAGGTACCTGCTGAACGGCTGTACTGGATCTCGTGCCGTTTCACGAAGCTGAGCTGTGGTGAAACACGGCACGTAATTTGTACAATTCCAACGGCTCACATTGAAGCCACAAGTTCATCGTGAATCGCCATCCTGGCAAAGGGCGCGTTTCACCACAAGCATTTGCGCAAACCCTTGGGGAGGCGGCCACTTGGGGAGCCGGCACCTGCAGAATCTAGCCAATGCTCTCGTTTCAAACCAACTTTTCTCCAAAACAGTTTCTGGGAGGCGTGTTGGGGGTGGGGCGGGTTTTTATGGCCGTTTCCGGGAATTCCCCAAGCTTGATTTGGCGTAGGAATGGTGTTTTATTGGGTTCAGTAGGCCAACATACAGCTCATAGTTTGGCGCACATTGTTACCACTGGCGCTCATTCTCTGGGGGAAGGAGAGTCCCAAAACGGATTTTCTCGGCTATGTTTAAGCTCAGTCAAAGCCGTTGCCCAACTGGGGTGAGAGCTAGAACTACTTTTCGATCGCGGCCGGGACCTTGATGGTCGGCTCAACTTCAGTCAAACGCCATGCAAAAGCACTGGGAATGCCTTGGCTGTCATCAGCGGTGGCATCTTCGTGGCCTCCCAAGCCTCGCAAGGAGATCCATCCGGATCATCCGGGTGGATATCTGGGTCTGTCGTTTCAATGGGGGAACCCCGAAAATGGTTGGTTTCTTTCCCTTTAAAAGAAACCAACGGGGGGGGTTCCCCCACATCCGCTGAGTGGATGTCTGTGCACATCTCAACAGGCGCTTGCAGAGGAAAACATGATCCAAGTGACGAGCCTGTTGAGCATGCGGAGAATTGACCAACCAAATCACCCCTTTCATGTGATTTCATGTGTCTTGTCTGTGGGTTGCTTGATGGTGCCGGTGTGACATACAATTCAATTGAAGAAACAGACATAGTGCGCACTTGACCGTATGTCTTGGGGCAACGGTTGGCCATGTGTATGCAAGTTCAGCAAGGAGACACCATTTGACGGAAATACCGGGGCCAGGTCATCTTGACAACGAGCAGTAGCAATGGCATGGCTCACTTGTGTCTTAAAGCACGGCAAGGCACGTCTGTCTTGTGTTATTGACGTGTCACATTTGTTTTTTGCCATGGAATCAGCTTTGGCAAAGGAAACTGTGGCGTGTGGTTAAAGAAGTTGCTGCTTGTCCATGAAAAATGACAAAGTTTCACAGCTGCATGAAAGAAAACAGCTCAAACCCAGCTGAGAGTGAGGGAGCTGGCAATGTGCGAACCTTTAGAGACTTGCACTTTGTTTGGTCGATAGACCATGCGTGTCCTAGGCTGGATTTGCTCGCTCCGTCTGCTTAAGTTGTCAAAAGAATAAGCTCTGCAGGAAATACCTCGGATTCCCCGTAACCCGAAATATCTCGGACACTTCCCGTGGGCATTTCAAATCGTGCAATGACAATTCTTCCATCCACCATTGTGATGGCCCTTAGAAGAAGCACGGCCATCGCCAGTGCTGACATGTTTCATGCGACACCAAGCGCGCTGGGGCGGCAGCCAAGACTTGAGGGCCTGGCAGCTTTCTGCGTGGCGACTGGGGACACAGGAAAGGAACATGCTTTCCTGTGCGGGCTATCTGATGATGTTTGAGCCACGGCCATTTCATGAGTTCGTAGTATCCACCTACAAACAATAAACTACCCCTGCACAAAGCCAAACTTGTTCCCAAATTCAATAATACAGTACCCTAAATAAAGCTAAACCTTTTTTCACCCACACAAAACAAACGTCTGGTGGAACAAAATCTTGAAAACAACTTTAACAAATATCACCGCGCCATGGTTCCGAATGAATTTCACATTCCTCAGCTGACATAAAATTTGATGAATTCCCTTCAGAATAGCTAATGTTGACGCAGAGTCAGATGCATGGACTCTCACTGCCAATGTTTGTTCAGGGTCAAGCGTCTGGACCCTGAATCCCATTACATTACATGGATTGTAACCAAACCTGCACCCAACAACAAAAAACGTGACCCTTATCCCCGCTGGATTTGTCTGGGTTTCCCCAGATTATTGGGCCACCTCCTTCAATCAATTACATATATCAAATCCTTCAAACATCACCCCTTGACCCTGGCAACAAGGCTAACCCCCCAAGAAACCTCATGCACCACATAAACGCCAGACCCTAAACAAAGCTAAGTTGATTCACTGACCCCGAAAAACCACTAATCCCTTTTATCTTACTCAGGGGCAAGGTGTCCATTCAACAACGCACATCATATCTGTGTTTCCAATTCTCCCTGCAGGTCCCAGAATTAGTTCATTAAAAAAAAAAAAAAAAAACACTTGGCCCCGGCAGCAAGGCTACCGCCCATCAAGCCTCATGCATCAAATAAACAACACACCCTAAATAAAGCTAAGCTGATTCCAATGACCCCAAAAACTCTCTAATCCCATTATCTTTATTCATACAAACCCTTGTGAAATTCATGCAACCATTCTTGGCCCAATACTAAATTGTTAGTATTGGTCCAATACTAGACTAGCATCCCCCCAAAACAGATTCATAAAAAAACCCAGCCATGCCCAATACTCGTGTAGTAATGTCCCAATTCTA